CACTAGAAAACTTATGTATATACTCCCCAACAGAATGGGGTAGTAGAAAGGAAGCATAGGCACTTACTTAATGTTGCTAGAGCCTTGAGACTTCAGGCCTCCATTCCAATTAAATACTGGGGAGAATGCATACTCACAGCTTGCTATATCATCAATAGACTTCCTACTGATGTGCTCCAGGGCAGTTCACCTTGTCAAGTTCTTTTTGGTTCTCCTCCTTCTATTGATCACTTCAAGGTGTTTGGGTGCTTGGCATATGTCTCTAATCTGAGCTCCAGAGATAAATTCGGTTTCAACGCCATACCATCAGTTTTTATGGGATATTCTTCAACACAAAAAGGATACAAGTTGCTAAACCTACAAGATTTCAGCTTCTTTGTCAACCGAGATGTCAGATTTATTGAGAACATTTTTCCCTTTCAGTTCCAGCAACATTCTCATGTTCCATTATTTCCAAGTGATCCTTTCACTACCACATTTTATGATGACTCTTTTCCTGTTCCCATCAATTCTGACACTCCTGATCCATCATCACCAGATTACAATTTCAGTCTTAGTCTTGATGCTGATCTTGCCCCTACTGTTCCTTTAATTGACTTCACATCAACACCATCCTCAGCTCCAGTACCTACTCCTGATGTTCCTTTAAACATCAGACGTTCTGCTAGATCACACAGACCTCTAATTTGGTTACAAGATTATAACACCCCTTCAGCTCATTACTCCATTTCAGATGTTGTCTGTTATGATCACCTTTCTCCATATTATAGGTGTTTCCTTTCATCCATCTCTCGGATCAAAGAACCTGTTTCATTTGCTGAAGCTTGTCAGGATCCTAATTGGATTGATGTGATGCAAACTAAGATCAATGCATTAGAAGCTAAAAAACTTGGCAGCTTGTTTCTCTCCCAGCAGGCAAGCAGCCTGTTGGCTGCAAATGGGTCTACAAAGTCAAATACCATTCTAATGGTACCTTAGAAAGATACAAAGCCAGCCTTGTGGCCAAAGGCTACAACCAACAAGCTAGCATAGATTACACAGAAACATTGTCCCCAGTGGCAAAGATGGTCACAGTCAGATCAGTCCTTGCATTAGCTTCCATTCATGCTTGGCCACTCTTCCAGCTTGATGTGTTTAATGCCTTCTTGCAAGGGGATCTCCATGAAGAGGTCTACATGTCTTTACCTCAAGGATTTCGCACACAGGGGGAGAATCACATAGTCTGCAGATTGCTCAAATCCTTGTATGGATTGTAGGAAGCAAGTAGACAATGGAATCACAAACTTACTGAAGCTTTGATAAAAAATGGCTACTTGCAAAGTAAGTATGACTACTCATTATTCACCAAACAAGAAGGAAGCAACATAGTCATTATGCTTGTCTATGTTAATGATATTTGTATAACAGAGAGCAGCACTAAGATGATAGACCAATTGAAGTTTATACTGCAGGATAACTTCAAAATCAAAGACCTTGGCCACCTTAAATATTTTCTTGGAATTGAAGTTGCTAGGTCCTCTGAAGGAATTGTTTTGAACCAGAGAAAATATGCACTGGAATTAATTTCGGAGTCTAGGTTATCTGCTACAAAACCTGCTGACACTCTTCTTGAACAGCATTTAAAACTGACTTCATATGAGTTTGATCAAAAATTATCACCAGATGAAAAGGATGAATTGCTGACAGATCCTAGCATGTTTAGGAGGATGGTGGGAAGGTTATTATATCTAACCATGACTAGGCCAGATATTTCATTTGTTGTCTAGAATTTAAGTCAACACATGCAGACTCCTAAACAATCACATCTGGAAGCAGCATTGAGAGTTATAAGATACGTGAAAAATGAACCAACTCTTGGGTTGATTATGTCCGCACAAAGTGCAAAAGATTTAACAGCATTTTGATGAAGTCAAAGTCCCGGCGTTACTTTACTGTGATAATAAATCAGAATTACAAATTGCAGTAAACCCCATGTTTCATGAGAGAACAAAACACATAGAGATAGATTGTCATTTTATAAGAGAGAAAATTCAAAGTGGTTTGATCATTACAAAATACATACCAACTGGAGAACAATTAGCAGATGTGATGACAAAAAGGTTGGGAAGGTTACAACATGAAAAGCTTATGTCCAAGTTATGCTTGAAAGATATTCATAAGATGCCAACTTAAGGGGGAGTGTTAGGATTCAAGTTGGTATATAGGAGGAAGCTTAGTTAGGATGTACGCTCTAATGTCAAATTTATGGGATTGAATGGGATTGAAGATCTTGCAAGAGTGATGGTTGAAACTAAGAAGGATAGAGTGTTTCTATTAGTTTATATATTGATAAAATTAGTATTGATTTTATAGGTTGCCACTGCTAGTGTAGAGAGAGCATTTTCAGCAATGAATGTTGTGAAGAATCATTTGTGAAATAGAATGAGTGATTAATGGTTGAATGATTGTTTAATTGTGTATATAGAGAAGAATGTATTTGATAGTATTGATGATAAAGTCATTATACAATATTTTCGAAAGATGAAATCTCATCAAGGGCAATTATAAATATATTAGTTAATGAGAATTTTATTAATACAAATATTTGTGTTTATTTTATATTTATATTTATGTTAATTGTTACTTTACCCTTTGACCCCCCTAAGTTTCATTCATGGGTCCGCCCTTGCTCCCTTCGTTTCAATTATTATTATTTTTTTTATTTATGTTTTAAAACATTTAACATTTTATTCCCTTCACTTATGTATATACCCTCACTATCATTATTTCTAAAATAAAATTTTAGGTGATTAAATTGAAAGTTCAGAAATAATTAAAGATAACAGAAATCCATACAAATAATCCCAAAAACATAACAGAGTTAATCAACATCAAAATATATAGATTAAAATAGATAAATTTATATGTAAGCAATTAAAACTTACAATTTTGTGTTGGTTGTAGTCTGAGATATTCTATTGCAAATCTTCTTCCTCCCTTAAGCTATATATGTTTGTTTTAAGAATGATTTGAATAAGAAAATAATAATAATAAGGTTTATGAGATAATAGTGGAGTGTCAAAAGTATTTGTAAAGAATACGAAATTAAAGTTTATTTTAATAATTTAATATAGGGATAAATTTAACATTATAAAATTTATTAAAAACTGGGACTTCTTTAATCTATAAAAAAAAAGTATATTATGGCCTTATGGGCTGCCATAGTGGGCTTCTTATGGGCTGTTTTCATAAGCTTATATGGGTAGTTAGTAATGCCGTAATGGACTCACTTTGTCAGTTTGTTGAGTGATAGATTACTTTATTAAGCATATTGTTTATCTTGTTTTTTTGTACAAGCAATATTATACATTTCAAGACATGTCACAAAATATTTTTTTCAAAGGATGCATTATGTTATTTAGTGTTGTTATATTATTTATTAAAATTTTTACTTTGTTTCAACAAAAATATGAGCTATTAGTTTCTCGTCTAAGCTGAACATTAAATTACTTTCCCTACAACCACAAAAGATAGAATCTATTATTAAAGAAGACACCAATGGGGTTGCCATTTAGCTTCTTGGATGCTTAAGTTAGCCATTTGAACTAATAAATCAGAGCCAACTCTGATTTTTGGATCTTGTTTGTAAGATCGGGAAAAATATATTTTTTTGTATTTCTTGAATTTTTATATGTATTTACAATTATGCTTAAAAGTATAAAAAAATTTACAAAGATTTTTTTTTTTATATAAAGTAATGTGAGAGGAGATGAATGGGAGAATAAATATTTTTTTCAATGACCAATGTGTCTTAAGGTGCTTAAACCTTAAGTATAATATATATATATTTAAAAGTAATATTTTGGTTTAATAATTATTTAACCGCTAAAAGCCTATTGGTCAATAGAGGTATGTCTTAATAATTGCACACTTTGATGGAACATGTGATTATGTATATAAAATAATTGGAAAAGAACCGGTCCTCTCTCCGCCCAGAAAGCGATAGGTTTTGTTTTTCTCTCCATCAGGAACAGTCTGTCAAACTGTCAAACCAAAAAAGGCCAAGAGGGAAAAACCTAGGTTCTTGAAGATTTCTCATCTACATTCAATTTCTCAAGCAAATTGTCATGGATCAAGGTATGTCTTCTCCTACATTATGAATTGTGAAAATCATCCTGTTCACAGATCTTAGGCATAAGGTTTATGCAAAATTAGGGTTTGAATTTGCATAATTAAGAACTTCTTATCAAGTTTTTGCCTACTAGTTTAACCTTTTAGGTGGATAGTAGAAAATAAACTAACAAGTGCTTAAGATTCAACGTAGCAGTAGCTAATAAGCTAATAATTTAAGTGCCTCATTTTAGCTATATTATGAATAGTATTTATATTTTAAGGTATTGACCGGATAGATGAAATGAGAGTAAACGATGAGGTTTGTTAATTAACATAATAAAAAAGTTTGTTTTATTTGAAATATATGCAAGATTCATTATAAGACTTTAGACTAATTGTGCACGCATTTCTTCGGGTGATTATAATATTGCACTTATAGTTCTCTAAACCAATTATAAAAGTTTGCTAGTTTGACTAATTTTCTTGTTTTACCACGTTAAAGTCGTTCAATTTCTAATTTAATTATTACAAGTATTATTTAGGACGTCTTTTTTTTAGTCAAGTTTAGTTATTGTTTTTTGTGAATTTGATAATTTTCTTGAAATTTTAGAAACCTTTCATGAATTTGAGAGCTTCTTCTCATCAGTTCAAACCATATTAGACTTGAAAATATTCAGTGTCTATCTATTCAGTTTTGTTGTTATATTTTTCTAGTTATTTATTATTTAATTCTTAGTATATCAGTGGTTATTTTAATGAAGTAATTGACTCCTTTCTCAATTTTTAAAAAAATTCGGTGTTTGGTGGTGAGAATGTGAAAGTAGAAAATACAAGAACATTGCTGGATAGAGACAGAAATTAGCCAGATTAATTCACTGATAAATCTGGAATCACTTGTTAAGAGAAATTCAGAGAGTTCTAAATAAACTATATACACGAATTGGGTAAAAAATCCCACCTACGGACCCAATAATGAATCCGAAAACAACTCCAGCAGTGAGTCCATAAACAAGCTCCTTTTTTGAAGATTCACTTGGAGAAGGAACAGGATTATTATTCGTTCTTGTTCGAATAGAACATGAGATTTCTATAATATCACCACACAGACCTGGATTTCCTTCAAAGTTGGGGATGGAAAAAGTATGAAACTGACCTCCTGAAGGTATCAGACCATGAAGATTATTATTCGCGACGCTGAACTCCGACAAGAAGTAGAGACCACTGAGCGAGGCAGGGATTTCACCAGATAAATTGTTTCCAGATAGATCCAATCTCTCCAAGTTAGTGAGTTTCGATATTTGATCCGGAATGTTTCCAAAGAATTTGTTATTGCTGAGATTAAGCAATTGAAGAAATTGTAATTGGCCAATCTCAATGGGGATACTGCCACTGAGACTATTGTTTTGGAGGAATATCGACGGTGGTAAGCTGAGGAGACTATAGTATTCTTCATTAGAAGCATTGATATTGGGAGGAACAAAGAGAGGTAACTCTAAGCGGCTCCCACCAATTTTTTTCGCAGCCTGTAATTCTGATACCAACATTGGCAATCCGCCGAGTTCCTTCGGAAACTCTCCGGAAAGAAGGTTATAAGACAAGTCGATGTAGAATAGACTTGTCATAGTCCCTAACCACCGTGGAATTGAACCGGTGATTTGATTCAAACTTAAGTCCAAGAACTGTAATTTCCTGAGATTACTTATCCAGGAAGGAACTTGACCCTGGAATTGTGATTTACTCAAAGCCAAAACCTGGAGATTTGGAAATGCATATGAGAAGGTAATATCATCAGGAATCATTTCACCCTTGAAGTTTTTACAAAGGAATAGAACACTGAGGTTCTTGCAACCTGTCAAAATCTTGATTGCTGCAGTGGCATTCGTTAATCGGTTTTGGGCAAGCGAGAGGTATGACAATGATTCCAATGCAACTATTTCAGGTGAAATTTCTCCCTCTATATTGTTACGGGAAAGCCTTACTGCAGTTAGTGACTTGCATGAATAAAGAGTCGATGGGAAGCTACCTGTGAAGTTATTGCTTCCAAGGTCGATCGTGCGAAGATGGCGAAACATTGAGAAATTAAATGCCGAAAGATCTCCTTCAAGTTTGTTATTCCGCAAATTCAGTTTTATGAGATTGATGCAATTCTTCATGGATGGAGGAAGAGAGCCAGATAGGTTGTTCACATGAAGGTACAAATGTGTCAAGTTGGTGAGCTTGCCAATATCCTGAGGGATGAAGCCAGTCAAATTGTTAGAATAAAGCTGAAGAATGATAAGGCTTGTGATGTTGACAATGGTGTTGCTGATGGGTCCAGATAGGGAGTTAACATGTAAGGAGAGCTCTTCAAGTGATGTGGCAGCATAAATGTCATCAGGTAGTGAACCTGAGATATAATTACAGGCAGCCCGGAAAACTTGAAGTCTTGAGCAATTTCCAAGTCCTGGAGGAATTGGACCTGTAAAATCATTGTTTGAGAAATCCAGATTCCTGAGAATGCAGGAAGTTTCAGTCCAGCTAGAGGAAGGGATAAGACCTGTGAAACTATTTTTGCTGACATTAAAACTCTCCAAATTTCCTGCTGATAGCTGGAAGAACGATGATGGAATCGTTCCTTGTAAATTATTGCTAGATAAATCAAACAATCTAATTACTTTAGATAACAAAGATGATGGAAATTCACCCGTAAGAGAATTATTACTCAAATCCAGAACTTCAACAAGAACTAAAGACAAAAACGAATGATGAGGGAGAGGACCGGAAAGGTGATTGTGTGAAAGATTGAGGTGAGAAGATGTGTCAAGTTCCCAATTGATGGGGAGATAGAGCCGCTAAGGTCTCTCCCGGGCAGCCGTAAATGAGTGACACGACCGTTCGCATCACACTCGATCCCCTCCCATAGGCAGCAGTCGACCCAAGAGGTCCAATTTATTGCAGGAGAATATATGCTGAGTTTTATAGACAAGAGTGATTCCTTATCTATTTGGTTGCAGGTTTTGCAAAGAGTGGCAAAACATGAGAGGAATAGTAAAACAAGCTTCAATAACAAGTTAAAGCATGGTACTTATTTGAATTCTCCAGGCTGAAAAGATGAAGAAGTTAGGATTTTAAAGTATAGGCAGCAAAGTTTAATATTTCAGCAATGTTGAAATTTGTGATAACAGATTATACTGCAAGTTATTGACCAGGCAGGGAGGGTGTGAGAAAGCGACGTGAGGCTAACATAATTTTAAAAAAAAATGCATTCAAGTCATAACGTCAAAATTAAGGAAGATTTTCATTATATGGTAGAAATCTTCAGAAAATCAATCATAAAAAAATATTAGTGGGAAATTTTGTCAATTTTCAGAGTTGTTTTTAGAAATTTTCCAAGGCACATCTTTGACTTAATGCATTCAGGTCATAACCTCAAAATTACACTCTATTACACTATTAAAAACGCCATTCATTACGAGTCAAGAAACTAAATTATATATTTATTGTAACAATATTTCCGCGCCCCTTCGTCACGGAAGCTGAAATGAAAGAAATTGGCAATTTAATAATAATTATAAAAGTATATTATATGTTTTGACAGAGATAATGCACAATTTTATTTGACTCACATAGTGACGTACATTGACTGTAGCTGTAATTCAAAGTCTTGGAGCGTTGCTCAAGCTGCTTGACTTGTTATGTTGAATTTTTTTTCTGATTTGACATCTTGTAGTTTTCTGCCTTTCATGCACATTTACTCTTTAATTCCAATTTCGTAGAAAGGTCCCAAGGACACAAAAAAAATGTTCTTGGCTTATGAGAATTATAAGAATATCAAATATATAAAAAAACTATAATTTAAAGAAACTTAAAAAAATAAAAATTAAGAGTTAACATTACGTAAGGGTCAAAGTATAATGAAACATTATCGTTGCCAAGGTTTATACGAAGGAGAAACATCGTGGCATTTATGTAAGGATAGCCGTCCATTATTCTAAAGAAAAATGTTACATTTACAACTTAATCACAACTTTCTCGTACAATTATAACATGACAACAGATTGATACTGTCATGTTAACTTCCAGCATCCAAGGCACTACTAGAAACGAACGATGGTTTTTTCAGAAAGAACAACCATTCAACCAAAAGGATGGTTGTTCCTTAAGGAATAACGTTGTTCCTCAATGAATAATCATTCTTTTCATAAAAAACAGATGTTCCTTCATAAGGAACAATTATTCGTTCCGTAAGGAATGACTATTCTTTTATAAGAACAATCGTTCCTTATGAAAGAACAACTGTTTTTTTGCTCTAATCAAAATCATGAGCTGACGTATAAAAGAAGTTTGTAAGAATAGATTGGAGGCATAGCATTACTTTTATTGTAAAGGGTCATCTCTAATGGGGTAATCACCATCACCCAAGGGGTCTGTTGTAAAATCACACACACAAACCTACCAAATCTAACATATCAAGCAACCACAGAAAGAATCAACACCACAATTTTCACCATGGTTCACCTTTCCAAGAATAGGAAGGCTACGTCCATGTTGAGCTCTGGAAACAGGAGAAACTCACTGCACTATCAAGAATCAGTTTATAGATTACAGACTTCGAATCAATCAATCAATCACGGAAAGAAACCCCAAAATCAACCAACTTGTAACAATCAACCTAGAGAAGCAAAACTAAGATTCCCTAGCCCTTTGAGGACAATATCCCCTCACAGAATGACTAACACCAATCACTCAAACCAATTACAAAGATCACGATTTCAGGATGAGAGAAACCCTAAGAGAGCAAATCGTTCTACATAGTATCACCTCTAAAAACTAAATTAAGACTAAAGACTCATCTGCTTAAATACCATTGACCAGGCTTGGACTAAACTGTAGTCGTTGGATCTCAAGATAATTGATGATCCTGATTGATCCTTTGCTTCTCATGAAATGACAGCGTATTACTTAATCATGTGATATGGCACCGTTTCAGTCTTCACACTTGCAGGGTTCACCAAGAGGGTCATTACCATCACCCACAGGTGACGAAGTGTTCTCCCAATTGGCTTCCAAGGTAAGTGGCTCATTCTCATTTGTTGGCTACTCAAAACCGCCTAAGACACGCATCAATTTCTAAGTAGTTTTTCTGTGAAAGATTGCCCAAAAAGGATCACCAAATTAGAAGAATTAAGGAGCATAACAAATGCCAAAAAGGAAGAACACCATCAGACAACCCAAGATCTTTATTTCCTTGTTTACCAACTTATTGAATTTCACTTGTTAACCCTTTAGAACCATTTCTTGGCATTAACAATCACCAAACCCGATTTATGAGTTCTATCATAGCTTTTTAATTAATATTTAAACATGAAATTGAATATATTTAAATATACATATAAATATTCAAAAACCTGTTTATTTTTTTTTTTTTTTAACTATTTCCGTGGTGCTTGACAATATCTGAAATATCCTATTCAAATTCCTCATACTGATAAGCAATAACCACAGGTAGAGGTGTCAATTTAGTCAAGTCCACATGACATAAATATAATAATATTCCCCTAAAAAAAATTAAAAAGAATAAATAAAGGGCTTATTACGACTGGAAAGTCATCATATGCTGGGCCACCGCTTAGATTTTTAACATAAAAGCTTAATATGCTCTCGTACTGGTATTTAGTTGAAGAATTCACACTAATTCGGTTCACTAAGTATTTAATTAGAGAATTGAAGTATTTTCCCTCTTCCCCAGTTCCAAGTAATGTTCAAAGTTCAAACTGTGAGAGTCTTCAGATAATGTCACAGTCTTCAAATTATTTTCATTATTGCAGGAGTTGAAACTCATTTGATCTAAGACTGTACTTATTTTTGCTCCCTCCATCAAATTTTCCAACAATATATTCAGCTCTTGAATGCTGCAAAAAAGATAGGGATACAAAGGATGAAAACAGCCAAAGTGATCCAAATTTGCAATGCATGCTTGCCAAACAATTGCAGGCACATTAACGCTAAGAGATTCAAAGAGAAAACAAAAAGAAGGGAGCAAATCTGAGTAGCAGTGATTTCATTTCTGTTTTTGCTAACTAATACAAGAGGAAGACTGCTCTCTTTTATATGAAATGAGAGAGAGTCAAAACAACGCAGTTACAGTGTTACAGAACATTCACATTTTTTACCCACTTGACTCTTTTTAGCTTTGGTCAACAGTTCCCCTCAAATACAGCTAGGGTTTTAACCTTGCTTCAATCAACATTCTAACATTTCGCCTCAAATACAGCTGGGGTAATACTTCAATAAAAAATAGTAACATTTCCCTTCAAATAAACTGAAACAAGTAAAAGTAAAGTATACTGACAATAGCAATTCTTCACTTCATCATTGGCAAAATATGCACCATACTGTAGTTCTGTTTCACTACTTCAGTTTCTAGCTTTGCATTACGCCTTCATACTAAAAAGTGCATAATGTTCAGTTCAGACTTCATTCTGAAATTCTCAGACATCATTCTCAAATTTTATACAGCAACATCAACTTCTTCCCACAACTTGAGAGCATATTTTCAGAGAAGATCCACATCAAACTAATTTCATATTTCAGTATCATCATAAACAAAACTCTTCATACAAATAAAAAATCAGTACACTGGTGCACATGCACAGCAACATCAACTTCTTCCCACAACTTGAGAGCATATTTTCAGAGAAGATCCACATCAAACTAATTTCATATTTCAGTATCATCATAAACAAAACTCTTCATACAAATAAAAAATCAGTACACTGGTGCACATGCACAGCAACATCAACTTCTTCCCACAACTTTAGTGCATATTTTTGCACATGCACAGCAATCATCAACTTCTTCACACAATTTTAGTGCATATTTTCACACAATCAACATAGAACATTCCTTCATACATTCAAGCACAGAACACCATTTTTGCACATTCAGCACAGAGCACCATTTTCACATTTTCAGCACTACAGAACACCATTTTCCACACATTCAGCACAAAGCACCACTTTCATATTTTCAACACAGAGATATTCAACACAAAGCACCACATACTCATTACTTTGCACAACAATTCTCAAACTTAGCAATTAAGATAAAACTAGCATAGCAATTCAGATAAAAGCAGCACACATCACACAAATTCACAGTAGAAGAAAAGAGC